GCAAATCAGATCATAACATCCTACTGCTTATGAGGCTAAAATGTTCACCTTTTATTTAAAATAAAATACCAAATGAAGATGGCTACATAATTTGGGGGCCCAGTGCAAAATGAAATGTGGTAACCTTGTTCAAAAAGCAGGGAGAAGTACTGTTAATAGTACTAAAATATAAAGCTTTTTCCTTTTTATAAAAATTTTAAAATATAATATTTAAAAAATATATAAAGCATTCTCCTTTTTCTCTCAACTTTTCCTGGTAGTTTTTATTTGGCTATTTAATGTCATTTTAAGTAAAGAAATATTAAAATTTTACATTATTAGCATGGATTTTACTATTTTTCTTTATATTTTGTAATGCCAGTTTTAGATGCAAATATAAGAATATTTATCTCATATGCATAACCACTGAAATTACTTAATTAATATTCCATAGCTTATATATACATATGTAAGAAGCCCTGGTGGCACAGTGGTTAAAACAATCCACTGCTAACTGAAAAGTCAGCGGTTCGAAATCACCAGCCACTCTGCAGGACATAGATGTAGTAGCCTGCTTTTGTAGAGATTTACAGCCTTGGAAACTCTATTGTGTCGCTATGAGTTGGAATTGACTGGATGGTAGTGGGTCGGGTGATATGCATATGTAGGAGCCCTGGAGGTGCAGTGATTAAGAGCTAGGCTGCTAACCAAAAGTTTGGCAGTTTGAATACACCAGCTGCTCCTTGGAAACCCTATAGGGCAGTTCTACTCTGTCCTACAGGGTTGCTATGAGTTGGAATCGACTCAATGGCAATGGGTTTGGTTTTTGGTGGTTTTATATGTGTACGTATTTCATTCTTACTAGATCAGTGGAAACACTGAATGAAAGCAACTTGATTATTTTTGTTTCACTTCTTGATATATGCACATTTGACCAACATTTTCTATCTTCATCTTACTGATGAATAAGAAAGGACCAAAAAGAAAAGTAACTATGGGTTTCTATATCTTTCTCTTTTATTTAATGTCATTTTTAGCATATGTGGTTGGATAATAGAGGGAATAACATGAATAAGAAAAGATGTTAGAGTTCCTTCATCATTTGTGTTTCTCAGAACATCACTGCCTTCTTTTTGTGTTCAAGCAAGTTATGGTTTGAATGAAAAGCATGGCCTCTTGGGGTTGTTATCACTCCCACTTAGTTATACATCTCACTCAGTTATTGTACTTTCTTTGCATCTTTCTGAACTCCCGTGGTTCTACTCAAATTTGGTTCTACTCAAATTCTGTGCTCGTGGAGCATGCTGAACACTACATGCATATTTTCATCAAGGAATAGCTGCATACATATTGTGCACATCTTTCCTGCTCATGTGCATGCTCCATTGTTACATCGGGCTTCACTTACAAAACTCAAGTTCAAAGAAATTATTAAGAATTTCTAGACAGTGATTACTATTTTTTCTATTTGTCTTGTCAGTTATGTTTCTTAACATATTATTTCTTGGATTCTATGGATTATTTTTTGTCATTCCAGTTTTCTCCTTTGTTAATATAGATGTTTAACAGTGTCTTTCTCTTATGATAGTGGCCACCCTGGAAACTACAATACAGATCCTTGGCTTATCAAAGTCTAATATTATAATTTTACCTTCCTTTTGTCAAAGCAAAGGTCTTAGAACACTTTGAATTTAATGAACTCCTTTTAACTCAAATGCTAGTTTTGTCACTAATTTTAATTATATTTATATATGGATATGGTATATAAAACGCTACAAAACATTACTATTGTTATTTTTACAGCCAACATTTCTTTAGATTTACCCACATGTGTACAACTTTCTTTGATCTTCATTCCTTCCTGTATTTCAGGAATTATCTCTGAGGTTTTTAAACTTCTGCCTTGTCATGGAATGAATAGGGTCCCCACAAAATACGTGTCAACTTGGCTAGGCCATGATTCCCAATATTACGTGATTGTCCTCCTTTTTGTGATCTGATGTAATTTTCCTATGTGTTGTAAATCCTAATCTCTGCCTGTGGTTAATGAGGCAAGATTAGTTTATGTTATAGAGGATTAGGGTGGGATGCAACACCCTTACTTAGGTCACAGCCCTGATCCAATGTAAGGGAAGTTTCCCTGGGAAGTGGCTTGCATCAACATTTATCTTACAAGAGATAAAAGGAGAGAGAAGCAAGCAGAGAGATAGGGACCTCATTGCCACCAAGCAAGAAGAGCCAGGAGTGGAGCATGTCCTTTGGACCATGGTCTCAGTGCTGAGAAGCTCCTAGACTAGTGGAAGATTGGTGACAAGGACCTTCCCCCAGAGCCAATAGAGAGAGAGAAAGCCTTCCCCCGGAGCTGATGCCCTGCATTTGGACTTCTAGCATCCTAAACTGTGAGAGAATAAATTTCTGTTTGTTGAAGACATCCACTTGTGATATTTCTATTATACAAGCACTAGATAACTAAGACATGCCTGTAGAACACACTTTAGAATTTTTGTTGATGCAGGTCTGCTGGTGGCAAACCTTATCTTTTATATTTGTCTGAAATGTCTTTAATTCTCCTGTATGTATGAAAATTATTGTCATTGAGTTTAGAATTTAAAGGAGGGAAAGAACAAAAAAAAAAAAAAAGAAAGAAAGAAGGAACAAATTGATCTAAATTTTTTTTGAACAATTGCATGATAGCTAAAATAGGTCAGTATTAGAAACATTTAATTGTCAGGGAGTTATTAAATATACAATGGACTATGTGCCTAATGGAGTATAATAAAAAACCCATTGCCGTTGAGTTGACTTCAATTCACAGTGACCCTACAGGACAGAGTAGAACTGCTTTATAGGGTTTCCAAGGCTATAATCTTTATGAAAGCAGATTGTCACAATTTTCTCCCATGGAGTGGCTGGTGGGTTTGAACTGCTGACTTTTTGGTTAGCACCCGAGCATTTAACCACTGTGCTATGAGGACTCCTACATGGAATATAACAGGATTTGGAAACTATGTTTTGAGACATGGAAAATATTATGATAAGTTAAAGTGCTTCATAGAATGTTGCATAGAAGACATAATTACATGTAATAATCCATACCAAAGATCTTTCCAATAGAAAAAAATTGGAATGAAACGAAGCGTTAGCTGTCTTTTTTATTGAGAAGTGCAATCATGTTTTTGCATTTTTCCAAGTTTTGAAGTAAAAAAAAATCTAGTGATCAGACAAAAGATTTGTGTTACTTATTACTGTGCAGAAATAAACAAAGTTTTTAAAATTTAAAGTAGTAAAAAAGGAAGCACAATGAAAGTTAAAATTCTTTGCAGTATCTAACAACTGAGCAGGTATTAACTTGCATTACAAATCCTCGTAGTATAAAATATATGCAAATGGGAAAATAACAAAAATAAGACAAGAATCCTCAAAATGGGTAACTTTGGTGTATCGCGTTTTAACTATTGAATATTTGATGAACGCTTCTTAAAATAATACCATTAAAGCGAAAGGGAAATTGGCTGAAAAGCAATGAGATTCTGAAAATAGGCAAAATAGGAAAGCAGGCATGCAATAAGGCAAAACTGTGGGGAAGGCCCGGAATATGTCTATCTTATATGAAATTCTGAAATTAGGTAACTGCAGATTTTCAATGAATGTTTCACTAGATTATTAAATAAAATTGCCTTAAGCAAATCTCCTTTAGGAAAAAGCATTTAGGTGAATTTGGAGCATCTCCCAAATGTGGAAGATATCTGCAGAAGGCAGTGTCTTGTGGGAACAGAGACATTATGAGCTGGTAGGGGTACAAGGGAATGAGCAGGCCCCCAAAGTGGGTCTATTTCTCAAGGATGCTTGGAAATTTCTGAGGACCCCAGAATTTGAAGGAAATACCACTGGTCCCCTACAGTTCTATATATACACATATATATATTTTTGCCTCAGTTAAAGGAATTGCCTCCACCTTCCCTTAACTCGTCTCTGCATCCACTGAGGTAGCCAGCACATTTATAGACCTGGGTTTTTAATTCCTGTCCTCCAATTCCTGTCACTCTTGTGACCCTTACAGAATTCTTCTCCTTTCTTAATTTCCCCTTACTATCATTCTTCTTTCTATCCCTTCTTATCATTCCAGGTCTTATCTTTTCCAATCTCCCTTTCTTGACCAAGGAGGGTCATGTTGACATGATTATCTGCTATACTAGTTGTTTTTTGTACTTGGCTTTATACACCTCGGACTAGACAGCTACGGAGGTCATTTCCCAGATTCCCTTGCTGGATGGCTTTGGTTAGGCACAGCCAGTGGGAAACATGGTGAAGAAAAGAAAAGCAGCTAATCTGGTTCTGGCATAGGGAAGGCAGTGTCTCTTTAGCAGTCCATACATCAGTTATAATTTTCCTTCTTGATTACCTACAAGCTGGCCTCACCACCTCCTCGTCAGCCCTAACAGTGGTGTCCCCAGTGGCCCAGAAGGGCTCCTGGTTTCCCTCCAATTGCAAGTACCAAGAGAGGCAGAGTGTATGGAAAGTTCCTGTGAGTCTGGTCTTTGCCCTAACAGGATGCCTCTCTCTCCCAGACATTCTTAGCTCCTTCTACCTTTTCTCCAGGCACTTCTTTGGTCCAAGCTCATCCCAGCCCTACTCCCAACCCCTGACTCTCAAGTCAACGTCTCTTTATTATCAGAGGCCTTGGCTCTTTTATCTCTAGCAAAGCTTGCCACTAAGTCTCAGGCCACTGTGAATCCAAATAAGAATTCAGGTCATAGACAATTTTCTTAGTGTTAAACCTAATGGAAATACTTCACAAATAAAAGGAGAATAAGTCTGTAGTCAAATCTCCTGGACTGAGATAGTTATCTTGCCCGTTGCTCTGTTCCTGAACAAATTAAATATGAGCCAAAGCAAGTAAATAGCTCTTGGCTCTTTCATGAGCATTTTCAAAGTAAAAAGGCTCTTACAATGTGTTTTGTCGTATCTGATATGAGCAAAGAAAATTTTCCTTAATTAATGTTTATTCTTCAACTATTCTGATGCAATTCTGTCCCTTTACCCGTTCATCCTCTGCCTGTTCTCTGCTATCTGAGTTACTGTAAAACCTTTTTGCAACATTCTTTTCAGAGCTGCTTTTATTTCCTTGTTCTTCAGGCTATAGACAAGGGGATTCACTAGGGGAGTTACTACACTGTACTGCGTGGAAAAAACAAATTCCAATGAGGAACTCAAGGTTGGCATGAGATAGCAAAGAAAAGCAGATCCATAGAAGAAGCTCACTGCAATGAGGTGAGAGGAGCAGGTGGAGAAGGCCTTGCTTCTGCCTATGGTGGAACTGATGCTCAGGATGGTGGAGATAATGCGGGCATAAGAGAAGAAGATCAAGAGTAGAGTTCCAAGGGCATGCAGGATGGCAGAGCAGATCATGACTGCAAAGTTCGTGGAGACATCGGAACAGGACAGAGAGAATAGAGAGGGCAGCTCACAGCTGAAGTGAGGCATGACATGAGCCTTACAGAAGTCTAAATTCCAAGCCAGGAGAATGTTGATGAGAGCATCCAGAGAGCCCAATCCCCATGAGGCCCACACCAGACCCCCACACAACTGTTTACTCATGATCTTTCTATAGATTAGAGGGTGGCAGATGGCAACATAACGATCATAGGCCATCACTGAGAGCAGACAGGCTTCAGTCCCTCCAGTGGCAAACACAAAGAAAACCTGAGTGAGACAGCGCTCTACTGAGATTGATATCCTCTGAGATAGGAGGTTCTCCAGTATCTTGGGCACAGTGACTGAAGATAAACAAAAATCTATGAAAGAGAGGTGACTTAGGAAGAAGTACATGGGTGAGAGGAGATGAGAATCAACTTTGATCACCAGTGGCATCATCAGGTTCCCCTTCATGGTCATGAGGTAAATCGCCAGGAAGAGCACGAAGAGTAGAACTTGGATGTGGGGGTCAGCAGATAGTCCAGGGAGGATGAACTCAGTGATGATGCTGTTGTTTCCTAAGGTCATTATAGAAGCTGCTTCTCTGGAATAAATACTGAAAGAAGAGTGGAATATTCACGTAACCTCACGCTATCTCAGAGTTTTGATCTAATTCTGTGTTTACATATCTCCCTCTTCAGCTGCCCACCTTTTTTATGGGTTTCTCATTTACTCTGCTTCCCTCCCCAGAATACCTTCACTCACCCAATTGCTCACTGCACAACTCCTGAACCATGTGGCTCTTTCCTCTTGTGGCTCCTCTATCACAAACGACTCTGGAGAAAATTATAAAACTCTTCAGATGAGTCCATGACTAATTGGTTCCATCTCCTTGAACTGGCCTTTGCTTCTATCCTGCAACTCTTCTGGTCAACTTTGTATCCCGTATGCTTCCTGGAAAAGCGTTTCTAATCATCTTTGTTTTCCTCAGTCACACATACCACTCAAAAACTTGCAATGATTCAATATTACTTAATGATAACATGATTATTTATTATATTCAAACTCTTTATGTGCCTCTGTTTGGAAATTTGAAATGTGTGTGTGTGTGTGTACGTGTGTGTGATGGAGAGTGGGGATAAGGCTTGATAAATCTAAATTATAATAGAAAAAACCTGAGGCTCCAAATGGATAAAACTTGTTCATTTCTCCAATTTGAACAACACACATGTATATCCAGAGGCAGAATATCCAATAAGCAAGGTAAGCATGGTGCTTACCTTGCTTACCAGATCATCTGTAGTGAAATTGTTCCCTACAGATTAGTAAGTAAGCACAAGTAACCCTGTGTTTACCTTGTTTACTGAGTCATCTGCCCCTGTCAGAGGTTGTAAATTAAAAAGAGGCTTTGATTCTGTAGGAAGATGCTGTGGGGTTGGGAGAGAGAGAGATGCCAGCCATATTTAGAAGTAGCATCTTTGATGTAGTGAAAAAATGTGAAATTATTCACTACAGATGATCTGGTAAGCAAAGTAAGCACCATGCTTATCTTGCCTATCGGCTAACCTGCCCCTCTGTATATCTACTCTATATGAGCCTAAGGCAAGAGTTTATTCTACTCTTGTACAGAGTGACTTCCACAGTTCCCACTGAATGAAGATGAACGACCCTGGTTGGCATTTCAGGTTTAACCAATCTTTATAGTAACATCTCCACCTGCAGAGATCCTGACTTACTTATGTGGGTCCTGGTGATAGTTTAGAAAGTTTCCCAGGTGATTTTAATGTGCTTTCAGGCCAGAAAATCAGTGCTTTAGATGCACCACTTGTTCAGGCCAGATTTACCCTTGATGCCGTAAGTACTTTCCGTTACTATGCTTTGACATCAGCTTATACTCTGCTGAAATTTTCTGCCTCTCAAATCCTGACCCAAATCTTATTTACTCTTCAATCCACACCTCAATTTCTACCTCTTCCATTATGTCTATCTTGATTACCTCCTTCTCTGCCTCACAGGTATGGAAAATAATGACATCTATCATTTCTTTGGTGTCAAGTATGTTCTAGGTATTAGTAAACATTTAGCTTTGTACCTCTTTGAAGGTTATAACAAAACTCTGAAGGTATCATTATCGCGACTTTTAGAATGAGAAAACTTAAGCTGAAAGTACAGCAGTAATTTGCTGGTGTTGACAGAGTAAATGGGTGGATAAACCTTATATCCATCCTAGGTCTACGTAGCTACAATATCTCTCTCTCTCTCTCTTTTTTTTTTTTTTTTAATAACAACCTAACTAGCTGACATAAGCTTGTCAAATTTTCTCCATTGTATGTTGTATTCAGTACTTACCCTCTAAACTCTTTTGTGCCTTCACTTGCATATCTATCTTGCTATGGCTGTTAGCAGCATGTGTGAGTTGTATTTCTTTTTCTCTAATCAAGTTATCAGCTCCTGGGAGATAAGAGATTGGGATCCAATCATCTATATTACCTTAGCTTCCTGAACAGATATCAGAATGAGAGGTACATGATGGTCCCAATCAATATTTGTTAAATGTAGAAAGAGTAAAAGGATGAAGCAAATAGGACACATTGCGTATGCTTCTTCTTGAGGAGTATTCCAAACTTGAATTCAGAAATAACCAAAGCTTGGAGGAGACTGGGAAGTGGTAGAGAAAGATGAGGAAATGTGGGGTCAGGGCTCATTTTATAGTAGCTGTGAAGGGTTGGCAGAAGACTTACCTTCTGCTGTACTAACCAGAACCTAAAGATTCCTTTTGCTCAGGGAGCAGCTCACACCTACTAGTTCATTTTTGTCCACACAGAGAGGGTTGTTTAAACCATAAACACTTATCCATCTATCCACTTTATTATTTATTTATTTATCCATTAATTTTGCAATCTCTCTTTCATTTATCCACTCCTTTCTCCCTCCTGTCTGTCAATTCAGTCATCTATCCATCTATGTATCTCTTTGTTCATTCATTCATTACTTTAATTTTTAAATTTATCTAATTATTCAAATATTTATACACTTACTTTGTGCAAAGCCCCCTACTTACAATAGATTGGGCAAAAAAACCTCGCTTAATCTTTGTTGAACTATTGTGTGAATCTACTTATTTGTCCTGTTGTTCCAATTGAATCCAGGGCTGAATTCCCTTAATAGTCAATTTTTTAAAAATTTCTAACTTGAAACCTGACCCATCACAATACACTCAGACTCTACTCCTTCATGAGCCCTCTTAACTTGCATAGTAACTCGTTACAGTAATTTTGGCTTGCCCACTTGAATTCTGAATCTGCCTTGAATGACCCATCTTTTACCTGATACCACAGAATATGACATTGGTCTTGACAACCCAACTCAACCATAACAAATGCTATTCCTGCTGGGCCAGCCAATTTCTCAATCCCTGCTCTTCATGAATTTCCCTACTTTTCATATTTAGCATTTAGATAAGTTTCCATATTCCAAAGCCTTTTTAAAACCAAGATTCAGGTTACTGCTCAGTTCTGTCTGATGAGTAGTCTGCAGTCCAGCGTAATGGCCTAAATTAATTCAGATTCTGCAGTGAAGGTGAATGACCAGATGGAAGGTCAATTTTTTCTATCTTTGAGTTTGTAAAATCTTGTTGAAATAAACAAATTATCTATATTCATCAGTAGCAAAGTAAAATAGTGAATTGAATCCATTCGCTTTAATGAAAAATTTATCAGCATTTGGCATTTACTCTCTGAATTTGGTTAGCTATTTGCTCAATTTTTTCCATGTTTCCTCTCAGTGTAGACCTGGCTACAATCCCATTTTTGTTCCTAGCACTTGGTTTGAGAAAACTCCAGCATATCCAAAGGATTTTGCGGAAGCTGTGAGTTACAGATCCAGTGTTGGAAAACCTCTATCCCATGCTGAGGGTTCACACAACCCATCAGCAAGGCAGGGAGAAGCTTAAATCGTGGGATTTCAGGATCTGCTCATTCTGGCCCCCAACAAAGATCCTCTGACTGTGACCAAGTGAAGACAGGCCTTCATTCATACTTGTGGTGAAAAGTAAATACAAATTTCAAAATTCTGTTCACTTACCTTGCCAGAGGGAACACAGTAGATTCCATTCACTTTGAAGTCAAATGTCCTTTTTGAAATTCAGAAAAAGGGAAAGAGAAGGGAAGCTTGGGTGCCTGTTTAGAGAAGAGCAGAGGATAAAATGTGTAGCCCAGGATGGTCCCTCTAATAAGGTGTGTGATTTACCAATTTGCCTAGATAGCTGTATTTGTGTACTTCTCAAACAGGTCATTTCTTGGTATTTTGTATGTGTCTATGTCAGACTTCATCCTAAAGTGAAATGGAGCAAAAGATTGCATTTTTGGGGGTCATTTTAAGAATAATCCCAAATAATTATCACCATCTATTTGCACCACTGTGAATTCATCCTAATTAAAATTATTATGTGCCTAAACCTGAAATTGAATCAATTCTGAGAAAAGAAAGCACTCCTTTAGATTCAATGATCTTATGTAATTTCCAAGGAGATAGGTTACCGAGAACACTTCAAGGAGGAATGTCTCAAAATTTATTCCATGTAATCACACAGAAAATGTTAGTTAATTGAATAAATGACTAGATAGATAGATTAATGAAGATCGGATGAGACACAGGTTTAACACTGGAAGGCATAAATAGTTTAGATAACTGGTATGCAAAATAGAAAGAAGACACTCAGAAGAGTATAAAGGTCTGGGTATCCCAGCGGCACTTGAAATAGGGGCAAGGGCCAAAATGCTTGAGGTCTGTGTGCTTGGAAGTCAAACTTCACCTACCTCAATATTTTCCTCATGTGTCTCTCTGGATCTTGCTCTTGTCCCATCTCTTTTTGCCACTAGTAGCTTTGGCAACCAGAGTCTATGGGGTGGTTAATAATCGTAGAAAAATAAAGTATCTCTAGCACATTCATTTTGGGTTTAGAAGAGGAGGAGGATCCTAGGTCACTAAAATTTCACTGTCAACTCTGATGTGCTTTTCCCTACACTTACCCAGACTTGACACCTCTCAGCTGTTGGTTTCAGCTTCCCACATCAGTGCAGATTTTATAACCAATGAATTCAACACTGAGACAGCTAAGAGCAGCTGAGGACAAGGGCCTCACAGGTAGGAAAAATTCATGAAGATTTTAGGGTGTGGAACTCAGCCTCCAGCCAAAAAAAAAAGGTAATAAGTCAAAATAAAAGGAGTTGCTGGAGAGAGTCAGTCATAGACATCTAGATGAAACCAGAACCTGAAAGTCTGCAGATGGGAATAAGAGGGAATTGTTAGAGAAATCATAGACTTTTTTTGTCACAAAATTCATCTTTTGACTAGTCTTACCATGGTATAAAATGTCATCTTTGGTCATGTGATCACCATGCACAGGAAAACCGATATTTCTGTAGCCTAACTACAAAAAGCACAGACATTAATTTTTCCTATTTATAAGCCATAATGAGGGAAGGAAATTAGACCATTCCAGATGAAAAGCTTAAGGACACATGTGGTCTGGAATGTTTCTTGGTCTTGTCACTCTAACTCACTAAATACAGTGAGAAAGCACTCAAATTTTGAAAGGAGGCATGTAAGAGACTTCTGTCATCCCTGACCCATTTAGTGTGGCTTCTCTTCATTTAGATGCATTTGTGACTGCACATACTGGACAAAGAATGTTAGTGAAGCAGATATAATCTAGCAGAAGGGATGCCAGATTGGCTGGTGGAGCTGAGCAATGCAAGAGAGCTGTATTCCCCAAGGTTGAAGTTTGATGCCAAACTTCAAACTCATTTACTAGAAGAGTTGTAAAGCCCTAGTGGTACAAGCCCTGAGAGATTCTCACAGAGCTAGGCTATAGAACCTTAGAGTTGAAGCTTTTACTGTAAACGGTGGAGTCTGGTGAGCTTTGAAGGTAGACAGGCTGAGAACTGTTTTTCACAGTATGTGTGAAACCCTCCCTAGCTATCCAGATTATGAATTAATTTTATCATGTGGAATTGATAATTCATATTTCAATATGGGGTACCTGTTTTGCATTTAGCAGATGATATCTCAGGAATATTTTACTGTGCAACTAAGGTTGGGATTTTGGAATCAGTGTTTGTAACAATAATCTTGGCTGCACTAAAAATGTGACCTTTGAAGATTTTAATACCACTGTGTTTCTGGGTAACACTTGCATCTTTAAGGAAGAAGGCATGATAAATTACAAAGCCACCTTTTTTCATTTGTGCAACCTTATGCTTACTGATAGTAGTGATGCAGTTGGCATGGCTTTTGCTGTCACCATTACCATGCATCACCTTCTAACCTTCACTAGAGGATACATTCCAGTATCCCTGACGTGAATGTTCCCATCAAACGGGATTGTGTGCCCTATTAGAGAGCTCAAAGACCCAGCTAACTCTTTAGAACAAGTCAGTAACTGCCTGACCATCTCTAAACCTGTTCAGTACTGAGAATTTTTGGTCATGAGAAATATAGTCCTATAGATTCACAAGCTCTACATTTCACACTAGCTAGCAGAGGAGGGGTGATGATCTTATTAACAAGGAGCACTCAAGCTATATTCCTGAAAGAGAATTTATTCTCAGTTTTAAAACACATTCAGAAAGAAGTTGTGAAGTTGCAGTAAATTAAAAACAAAGACTATGTTTACATTGGAATTTAGGGGAAGTGTTGATAAAGATATGTGATACTGGAAATAAATTTCATATATAGCAAAAACATTAAAATATTGCATAAATTATAGCTTAACAGATGAATCACAAATTTTCTAACCCAGATTTCGAACAATTGTGCACACTGAAAAAGGGAATTATATGCACAAGACAGAAAGGATCTCATGCAGATTCCAATACGAGAAGATGTGTTACTTAGGAAGTGACAATTTTGCACTGTTGCATGGTCCATATTG